TGAACTCGGGAGGGCAACTGTGAATGGCTCAGCATCTGATATGAATTTATCACTGGCTGCTGGTTGGGTGGGGGATAAAACAAGGGGAAGGGGCTGTGAGTGTTTAATGCACCCTGCCACAACCCAACAGTTTGCCCTAAAGAGCCTTTTACCAATATAAAAGGACAGGGTCAAAAGTAAGTTGACCCCTGACAGAATGTACAATTATTAGAAGAGGGCTGTGCACGAGCAGCTGCTGGAACCCCACTGGTTCCGCGTTGGGCTTCCAAGAGTCAGAATATGAATAATCAACTCAAGATTGTTTCTCCACCCCTCTTAACCCCCACCACCTCCCCCCAACCTTGTCCTCCTGTTTTGGGCAAGTCCTATTATATTTCTACAGGAAGAAGCGTAGCCCTCCCCAGCAGCTGCAATAATTGTGTTCTCATTGTGAGGAAGACCTCCTCCTGGCCGCCCCCCTACAAGTGGCCATTGTGAGTGGAGAGTCAGTGATTACACGCTCCGCCTGATGCTTTCGGGGACCCAGCTGCCTAAGTGCTGACACACGAGCGTGTGGAAAGCCAGGGAGGGGGCTGGTGGAGGTGGAGGCAAGAGGTGGGAGGATCCCGTGTCTGTGAGATGGGACTCTGACATACCAGACCTTTTGCATAAGTCAAGCCCAGAACAAATGAGGCTTTATCAGGCCCCAGTGATGAGGGGTCTCATCTCCCTTTGAAGTGGAGCTGAGCATGGGGCCTAGCAGCTTTTCCTCCTTTGGACCAAGCAAACATCCTTCTTTTGATATGCTACATGCTCATTATCTCTGCCCCATTTAATGATTTTTGATTGAAGGGTGGCGGCTGGGATGCCAAGAAGATCGTTAAAGTGGCTCCATCCAGCCAAGCCTGCAAGAAAGGCTTTCCTTGTGCTTGGGCCTAAATTTGGAATTTCTTAACAGTGTGCGCTTGTTCTTAGAGGCAGATAAGGGCTGAGCGTGAAATTCTTAATTAAGCAATAAATAGAGAGTGGGGTGTCAGCAGATGTAGCCAGTAGCCATGGCAACGGGAATCACATGGGCAAGAGAGCTGAGACTAGATGGAGGCCTCAGGCCTGGGCCTGACTGACAGCTGAAGAATCCTACAAAGCTTGTAAACCAGATTAATTAGCTGACTAATTATTTCATAGCGTTAATGTAACTAAAAAATAAAAATAGTTGTCCATGAACTGAAACATCCCTGGAAGAAACAGCAGGGAAAGAGGCAGTGGGAAATCGGCTGTGTAAGGCAGAGGCCAGGGCGGCTGGTGAATCAAATCGCATAAACGGCAAAATCGGCTGGGGATTCGCCTCCGACTTTGAGAATATAGACAAACACTGTTCTATAGTCATACCCATTCTCAAGCATGGCATAGAAGTTATAGTTTGGAACTGCCATTTGTGATAGTTTATCGCATCTAATATTGCCCCTCCTGGTCCCAACACAATACAGCATGCGTACACTTTCCTTGTGGTCTGTTTCGTAAGTGGCTCCTTGGGCCAAATTCTCAAGGGCTTTAGAAAGACAACCCGAACCAATCTCCTTAAAAGATATTTTTGAATGACTGAGGTGATCTTATTCTGTGGATAACAATTGCTTAAGTGGTATTAAATTTCAGTCATCGGAACATATCACATATGTCCTAATATCACGGATCTCAGTTATCTTACAGAATCTGGTCAAGGAAAATACAACGAGACCTTGTCAGAAAGGTTATGATGTGTATCCTGATTTCAAGGCACGTGAGATTGTTAATCTTCTGGGAAAAAAAGAAAAATTCTAGAGAAATAATCTACTGAGAAAATTTGTAGTAAGCTACCATGGCATGCTAATCACACTTGAAGACATTTGGGTGTTCTGTACCACAGTTCCAAGAGATAAGTAAGTATTCTTAGCCTCCTTGCATAGATGGAGCCACTGAGGCATGGAGAATTTATAATTCCATGCCCTGAGTGAAAGAGTCAGCCAGCCGCTGATTAAAACCCTGAGCCCTAAGCTCTGGCCACCAGCTTTCCAAAGAACCTGAATTCCATAAAGACGTCTGCTGAACAAAGACAGAACTCACCTTGGTGGAGAAGAGAAATGCAAGGTCAGACCCACTATACGTGCAGGATTCTTTTCTGTCACTGGGGCTTGGTGAGAAGTTTTCTCCCACAGCCCTGCCCAACATCCCCACCCTGTGGGTCAGGGATCAAGGATTACTTAGTGGGCAGCACACTCTAGTGGAGAGAGCCATAGCCGGGAGCTAGAATGCCTGGGTTCTGGTCTTTTCCATGCTCAGTTGGGTCTAAGATTAGTCAGGTATCTTAAATCACACACAAAGTAGCCAAACGGAGGAAATGAAGATAATTGCGATTTTTTTTAAACTTCCTCTCCTGGAGGATGTGGTAAGGTTGCAAACAAAAATACAAAAGATGGTCCACTTAGAAGTGGTCAACAAATGGGTGAAACACAGCCAACTGCAGGTAAAGCAGCGCTCTGAATGGGACGCCAGCCAGGAAAAGGAGCAGGACCCCCCACACCCCCGAAAGCCTGACAGGAAACTCAAACTCCATGGACCTGAGGAGATCAAGAAGTTTCTCTACAATAAAATAAAACTTATCTACAGTACACAACTCTCCCCATGTTTTTTCATTGCAGGAATATGTCCACATAGACTGTGAGATCGTGACTTATGTTCTCATTTTAGATTAAATGCATTTTATGTAAATTATCTCAGTCACAGACATATAAAGTCACATGGTCCAAAAAAACAATTAAGTGAAAGTAACAAACTAATCAACACGTAAAGTGCATGGCAGAACTGGAACTCTATTGCTTGGGGTCTTGTTGGGGTACCAGCTGCAATTTCCTCACTGCCACTATGGCATCAGTATTCCTAGAGATGATGTAAATTTGAGACAGAGGATATCCAAAATCATAGCCAAATCCACAGGATCCAATTGAGCTGTGTGGACCACCACCACAGAGGAGCAGTGCGAGCCTCAGTTCCCCCTGAATCCTCATATCCTCTCTGTGTCAGCCCAGAAACGGGAACAGAAGTGGCTCTAGCCACCTACCTACCCCATTCACTCAGAGGACAGAGGAGGCACAAATGACCTCGAAGCCATTACCTAGGAATCCTCCTAAGGGACAAGGGTTTCTAAGTTTATTAAACATCCAACCAATCCTCTGCTACTTCCTGTTCCCTTTCCGACTCATATTAATTGAAGGTGGAAACACTAGGGTATTCTGGTACAGAGAATTTTTTTTTAATTAATAAAGGCTATCTAACTAAAAAATGTTTTATACTGAAGTATTCATCTACATCCTGCATATGCACATATTTACACACAGATGTACACCTACATATAAATATGTTTACACAGATGTGCGTTTATACCATGTGTGTATATATAGTAAAATAATACTACTTGCTATTAATTCAATAAATAACGCTATCAAAGGGGAAGAAAATCTGTAGCTGTATGACTTGATTTTTTTTTCCTTATATCGCAAATCTTCCTTTATGATGCTCGGCTTATGTGACTCTTCAAATTAGTTTGTAGTTCATGAACAGAATCTGACCAATGGACAAGACAGGCTCTTCAGAAGCATGCTAAGTAATAGAATGAGAGCAATTTGAAATTAAAATTTTCTTCCAGAATATATATCAAGTGAACAGTCATAGTTAAAGTTAACGGCACTGATTTGCTCCTACTTAATGTCTGCATTTGGCTCTAGCAGTAAAACACTCTCAGGATCTCTGTCCATCCTGAGTTTTTATAGTTTTAGGTTACATTTATGGTTGGATGAAATCAGAAATAAAATTTGAATAGCACAATTCAGTGCAAATAAAATATACAACAATCCATTTGGAAAAGACTTAAAAAACACCAGAGAATCACCATACTCTCCTTTCTGGTGCTTTTAAAATTTACTAGTCCCAGGAGCAAGTGCAGATCAGACTCAGTTGACAAGTGAGAGGGACAGGGGTGCAGGACAATTGCCTAGCTCTCTAAACCCTCAGGGCCCAGTCTGGCTTCTGGCAGGGGCTGGCACTTGCCATGCTGATGAGGTCCCCTGAATTTGACCAATTAATAACAAAATGTCATTCTAGTGACCCATTTGGCCAGATTCTCCTTACAGAGCACAACTGAGCTGAGGTTGGTATAAGAGGACACCGTGGGCTCAGAGTGACCAATGCTGACACGGTGTGGAAAAGGAATATGAGACGAGCACCAGGAAGTCAAAAGAAAGGTATGGTTCTGACCCACACATTGGGCTCCTGTGAAACCCGCACAGTAAGCAGGTAAGGAAGTCCTTTTGCCCTCTGTTACTCTGCAATCACAGTACAGTTCCTGGTCTTACGAAATGAGGCTCCTGGATCCTTCATCTTGATGCTGCATTCTGACACAACTCAGAGATAGCCCATCCCCAGTCCTCAGATCAGCCCTCTGTGCCACCTCATCTTCCTGGCCTCAGCTTCCCTTCCAAGGCTTGCCTTCTCGTTTTCCACATTAACTTCACTCTTCATCCCTCCTCTCTCCGTACCTGTCACCTCGTCTTCCCTGCTGTTCCTTGTATCTGTGGCCATACCCAGCCGTCTTGTCTTGACCTGTGATCTTTCTACAAATACAGCACTGCCTTAAAGTGAATTAAAAATATTAATAACAACATGTGTTAAGCACTGTCTGTGAGTTAGGCACTCTGCTAAGAAGTTACACATGTTATCCTTTATTTAATTGCCTATCCTTTGAAGTAAATCCTGTTATTATCCCATTTTACAGATGAGGAGTCTTAGAGTGAAAGGGTACCTGACCACTGTCCCATAGCCAGTGAGTGTGGAGCTGGGATTTAAACCCAGGCAGTCTGATTTCACTGGACCATAACACACAGCTGGCCCCTTCTGTTCCGCATCACTTCATAGCACTGAAGTCTCGAATTCAAGAGTGAATAGTGGTTTCTGATCATGCGCCCTCAACACGCTCATCCAATTACACTTACCCAGATAGGTGAGTTGCCTCAACTGGTTATCGAAGAACCAGTCACAGCCTTGGTCCTGACCAGGTGATGGAAGAGATGGAAGGGACTGCCCCACTTGACTCCCACACTTTATGAAGACGTCAGGGTAAGGCCACACGCCTGTGTGCATCAGCAGGAGATAATTCCCAGGAGCAAAGTTGTCAAATGTTGCTGAGTACTTGAAGTGAGAGAAAAGCACAAGAGTGCTCATTTAGGAAGGAAGGCTCCCCCCCAAAATGAGCTACAAAGAAGGCAGATGGAATAGTTTAGAAATAGGGCAGTTCACACCTAGACTACTTTTCTTATGGGAAATGGGCTTAAATAAGTCCACTCCATAATAAATTCATAACTAGAGCTACAAAATCATAGAATGTGAGTTCTATGAAAGATGCCGTAAGTTTCTTTGTTTTAAACGACCTGAATTAACAGGAGAAAACCAAGACCCAGACAAGTGAATCAACTTGTCCCAGGTCAAACAGCTGGAAAAGACAGAGCCAGGTCTAGAATTCCTTTCCCATTCCCATAACTTAAGGAGGCAGGCAATGATGGGGGCCATCCATTTATGACAGTAACAGCTAACACTGTTGGAGCATTTGCTATGTGCTCACATCAAGGCATTTGATCCTTGAGAGACCCCTGGTGATTGATGCTATTACTGCCCCCATTTCACAGATGAGGAAACTGAGGCAGGAGAGGTCCAGTAACTCACCCCACATCACAAAGCAGGAGAGTGCTGAGCCAGGAGAGAAACCCAGGGTGTCCTCCTCCAGAATCGCCATTCTACTGCCTCCCCTTATGAAAATTTCCCAGAATGTTCTCATGGGAACCCCAAGGGAAGGAAGGAGAGGTGTACATCCTTTATGAGAGCCATAGTGAGAGAATCAAAAAGGATTCTGCTTTGAGTTCCTCAGAGCTATGGCACACCTAAAGCAGCTTCTAGCTCTCTAAGACCTGTTCTCGTGACCTTCAGGGAGAATGTATATGATGAGATAGGAAGAAAGAAATGTATTAAAAGGAAGAAAAGAAGCTTGAGGGAATCCATTAGATTGAGGTTTGTTTTTTTTTTTTTTTTTTTTCAGAAAATGCACCCACTTTCCACATGGTTATTCCTGTCTTCCTTCCCCCTAACCATTTGACTCCTTCACCCTTGCAAATGAGTCTAGACCCTCATTTGCAAGTTAATCCTTGACCACAAGGTGGCAGTATGCAATGTAAAAATGCCTTGCTAAGGCATTTTCTCTGGCTACAAACACTTGCCTGAGGTTAGTTGGTTCTTAACCCATAATATAAAAATACAATTCTACAGAATGCTTAGAACTATTTTTCATCGTGTTAATAAAGTTAAATTTTCAGGCAGAACCATTCTGCGTTCAAGGTGAGATTTAAACAGATTCTAAAATTTTCAAGTTAAAAAACAATCTCATATTCAGTTTACATTCATCTAGCCAAATGCTGCTGCAGTTTTCTCTCTCAGCACCAGAAGAGGCTCACATTTACAAACTATTATTTCACAGAAGGAACGATAAGAACTCCTGGGAAATGTGACACACCAATGAATGAATGAATGAATGAATGAATGCCTGGGTTACCTGCAGAGATCTGTTGATCCAAGGGGTCTCAAACCGCAGTGAGTATGTCTCTTGATCCAAGAGCAGAGCCATCCAGCCATGATGGTTAGACAATGTGTCCCACACATAATTGACAGTGGTTGTCTTATTTCTGCTGTCAGTCACAGTTAAATCATAAGAAACATCCGGAGCATTAGCTCTAGGGTGATTTAAAAAGAAAAAAATGGTTTTAAGTCACTTGTCCAGTCTGGATCTAAGGCACTTCTCTTCCATTGGTTATAGTTCATCTTCTGTTCTCCCCTTCTCTGTCTCAGGTCCTTTTGGTCCATGAGTCTATTGAGGTTTTCAAAAGAGCCCAGTGAGAAGATGGCACTGGATGGTCTGTGCATTACACTGGCCGGGGGGTTGAAGTAATGCTCCAATCTAAAGCCACTAATAAATGCCATCTTAATGAGTTCATATAAGCCAGGATTAAATACCACTATTTTCAAAAAGAAATGTCTATGGCCAGAATTTTGCCATAGACTAGGTTTATCAGCAGCAGAAAACACATTATATTGGTAATTAGATAGATATTCCTATGGGAAACAATGACTGAGACCCAGAACCTGATGTGCCTCTACTCTCAGAAGCCCACCTCCAGCCACCCAGCAGGAATGGTTCAGTAACCTTCCCTAGAATGATGAGTAACCTGACTCCTCCCCTGTGGGCTTGCATATGCCCAGCGCTCACCCCTGCTACAGCATCTCAGCGCTGTTAGGTTTGCTGTTTTGTTTGTTAACATAGATTATAAGATCCTCAAGTTAGAGATATTTTCCCTTTTTGGTATCCTGCACCCTGACACACGGCCCTGCACACAATGGGCCCTCAAATCATGTTTGTTCTGTGAAGGAATACTGCACGCATGAGCTCTTCCGAAAGCAGCTAGTGCCAATTCCCTAATTTGCATACAGCATTTCTAGAAGACCCACATTTTACCAAATGAGGAAACTGAGGCAGAGTGTGGCAAAATTATTATGTGAATGTCACAGGTAGAACTAGAAATTTTCTAATTTCTATAAATTATTCTACACAGCCCATCCCAGAGAGCGATTTTTAAGACTTCGCTAGAACATAAATAGATTTGGCCACATGCTAAGACCCTCAAAGAAAGTCAAAGTGGACAGAAAAAAACACAGCAAAAGTTAAAAAAAAAAAAAAATCAATACACATTATGACTGTCCTTCCCGCTTTGGTTTAGTTTTCACGAGAATCTAACTGTGGCATTTTGCTACAGGCAGATAATTAAATTCTCAAAGTAGAGGGAAAGGAGATGAAGAAGGATGTTGGGTTTTCAAAGTGAGGTGTGGCATGAGCAGATCCAAAGGCAATTTACAATCCAGTGGCATATTATAAAAGGAAGCTGTTTTCAGTGTTAAATGCTTGTGCTCTATAGTCAAATGGGTGTAAATTGGAAATCTACACCTGTATGCACTAGGTGGATGAACTTGGGCAAGTTACTGACTCTCTTTTAAATTTAATCTCCTTTTTTTCAAAATGGAGGCAACAATAGCATGTATCTCATATAGCTACTGTAAAACACAGAGAATCTATATAAAGTATTCAGTCTTTCACCAAGGCCAACAACATCTACCTACAACTCATTTAAGAAAGAACCTCAGATGTGCCAGATCTGCCATTCTGCACTGCTTATTTTAACATCTAGAGGTTTACCCAGGATATTTGGTCGTTTGAAAACACCTTTCACAGTACAGAGACCTGGCCCTGACAATGCAGTACTTGATACATATTTCTCATAAGATTAAATGCATTCGTCTCATCCGCTAATTAATAAAATGAAAAGGATGAATGCTCAGGGCCTTCGGAACAAAAGAACTACTCTTTCCTCAGACTTCCCTATGCAGCATTCACTGAACCTGTAGAAATCTCGGGGTCAGGGTAGGGGTACTTCTTCCTCTCTCTGGGCTTGGGATACTTAGGGTTTTTCCATCAGGATTTAAACTAGAACTAAAGGACAATCCTTAACTCATATTCTTAGAATCAGACTGGACATGAGGGTCACCTGTTCTAACTTCCAATCCATTACAGGAATTTCTTCCATAGTTTACCGGGGCCCCTCTTCCAGTTATGTGGCATTCCCATCCTCAAATTCTTCCTCCATTTATGGAATTTATTTTTAAATTTTAATCTTTAGACAAGCTTTAAAAGCTTAATTTTCTTCCTTGTATTTTCCAGCCATTTGTCCTCAATTGTCATGGCTCTCTCTTCCCCTGACTGAAACCATGTCTCAGAGTCCCAAGAGATCATCCAGAACAATCTGGCCCAACTAGTATATGTAAGGAATAAAGATAGGCTTCTGGGAAATAAATGCAAAACAAATGTGATGAGAAGAGATAAGGTGGGACTAAGAAATACCAAAGAGGCAGAGAAGTGGGCTGCAGTGGCTACCACGGTCAGTATATAAGGTGGGATTCCCCACAGTCCAGAGAATGAGTCTGAGTGTTTTAGGTTCCAAAAGTGCATCCTTTCAGATATATGGTATATATGGGCTCTGGAAAATGAATCACAAGACCTAAATCCAAGAGAGACTAATTGATAAGTCAGAATTTCCATTTAATAATTCACGGTAAGAAATAAAACTGCGTTTCACATAATGGGTCTTCAATAAATATTTGCTGAATGAATAAACAGGGGTTAAATGAACTAGAACACTCCAATGGACTACTTAGTGGTGTTTCTTCCCAACAGGGAAGTCTACCCAGAAAACCACATAAGTGACAGGAGATTTCTTGTAAACGTATTAATCAAAGGGGATAAGCAGTTGATCATAAGTTATCAGAGCTTGATACAGTCAACCGAAGTCAATAGCATAATTGCCAAGAGGACTTAAACACTTACGTTTGGTGGTCAGAAAACTTCTCCTGGGTGTATACAAGCAATCTACACTAATAGTGGGCCCTGGTTTAAGGTTTCCTTATGAACTTATATCTTTTCTATCCTAGTCAAGTGCTCTCAGTTAAACCAATTTTACAAATAGTTTTTTTAAACTATAGACCCAAAAAAGAATTCTATTTGTTCAAAAGCATCCATCTTTTCACATCAAATTCCTCCAACCCATATTTTGTCACTCACTTTGCCTTGCCAACCTATATTTTGTCACCCTTTTCTTAAGACATCATGCATATTTCCAGAAATGCTTCTTCATTCTGGCAATATGGCCCTAAGAATCCCCCTAAACACTTTGACTAGACTTAATTATGTCTCAAATTTCCATCAGCATCACATTGATAAATCGGTTTTCAGGATATGATTTCTTCTGGTTCCGTTTCTACAGACTGCAATTTCAATTGTTGAAGGAGCCGTTTTTCAGACTGTGCTCCCCAGTCTCTGAAGGCCCTTATCAACCTGACCCTCTCTTCAAATATTGTAAAACTGCTAAATGCTAACAATTATTCAGGTCTATTTGTCTTTGAGACCTTTGTACCTTCCTTTGGATGCCCTTCTCCTTCCAACTAGCATCCAGTAATCTAATGCTAACCTCTTGATCAACCAGAAACTCGCCATAGCACATCATGATCCTAAATTACCTCTCCTCTTCCTTCTGCACTCATCGCCCTGATCCTGTCAAGCAACCCCATCCATCTCAACCAAGGTTTGTGTGAAATGCAATTTCACTGGCACTCATGTGCAATACCAGCTTTCTGCGGTGCAATAAGGTATAGAAGGAGGTTATCACGTATACCTTTATCGCAGCTGGTAGTGGAAAGGGTTACATGGTTTACTCTGGAAAGCAAATCAAAATGTAAAAAAACCCATCTCCCAGTAGGCAAGAGCCCTTCTGTTGGCCATCAGTGGGGGCGAAAAAATTCTAAGTCAAATCAGCTCCCATCCTTCTAGGCCAAATGCCAGCAGTGACAGTGGTGGGCTCTTCTGAAAAGCAGCAAAAGAACATCAAGAATCAAAGAACACCATGAAGAAAATTTACTAACCATAATTACTACAATTTTCGCTTGCCCTAAATAGCCACCAATTTCCCTGTGCCCTAAATAGCCACCAATCTCCCTCTCTTTACTGTTAAGGAAGCAAAGGAGCACAAAAGTATTTCTAATTTGGAGGAGCCAAGGGAGTCTGCATGGGCCATTAGCAGCAGAGAGCTTCATTACTAGGGGAAGAAGTCTCTCCCTGAACTTCTCATGGCTTTATGTGCAAGAAATCAGGAGGCAACCTGTCCATTTTAAATGTTAACTCTCACCTCTGCGTCAGTAATAGCTCCTGTATACAATCAAAAAGGCAACAGGACTACAAGCCTTCCCTGTTCTGTGCAGTGTCTTAATTTTTCTTCCTTTTTTTTAATAACCAAGCCTGTTTTCAACTAAGAGACATTTTCCTCTAGAAATATAGCACTATCACTCGATAAAACTTCCCAACCTAAGTACCAATTTACAATACTAGTTGCATAAACAGTTATGTCATTTAGTGCCCATACACTGTGCAGAACTGTTGAATGTATACTGCTCACAAAGGATTTGTTAGGCAATCAGCAATATCAGTGAGAACAAATATTAACTCCCTGGTTTGTGTTTACCATTAGCTTACTTTTCCTGAGGGTTCATATCTCTGTGTATTAAGACAAACATTGCATTGAGCTCTAAATGCTCTCAGTTCGGAACAATTGTGAAATAAAGCCTTTACAATTACACATCTCCTAAGCCAGACACATCATAATAACTAGCCCCCAAAGGTGCTGCTCGCATCTATTGAATGCTAGTGTCTGCTATTGTCGCTCTCATCTTTTACTGCACAAAGAGGACAAAGTCAAAATTCTGAGCACAGCCAACAAGTTTTTGGGGCATGGCTTGCTTGAGCATCCTTTAAAAATACACTGGGCTCATACAAGTCCTTGTCAGAGAACCACTATCCTACCTGCTGATCTGCCATCATCCAGTAATATTTTATGTGTATCAGTAAGGGTTTTTTAATATATACCCTTATTAATTGAGAAACACAAATATTTCTCCTTCTGAGTAAGAGGAAAGAAATCACAACATTCAGTCTTCCCCCCAACTTTTAACAATCTTTATATTCACAAACTAGAGCTGGTAGGCAGAGACGCAAGCCTTATAACCCTTGTGTGTCTGGCAGGCACAACCTGCCACCACTCCTCCGTGACTTTGCAGGTGTATATTTCTGTTTATCTTT